TTACAATTTCTAGCGAAATAATTCGCCACCAAACTAATTGAGTGGATACAACGCTTCGACTAATAACGTGGTGCTCTGTCCTGAAGTGCAAGGGCAACTTCTGTAAAATCACTTTGACAAGGAAGGCTTTCAGGTCGTGCCCACTTTTTTTCGACACGGTATTTTGCATTAAACAGGGAAATATACATGGAGTTATCTTCCATATTTATGCGACTGTCTGAACGTCTGGAAGGCCATGAAAGATTGTTCCATGGTGTGATCCCCAGTGGTGACAAATTTTGCATTCTCAATTCACGCTTGCGCCATGTCGCAAAATGGTGGCACAGCTAGTAATGAATGCCAGTTATGAATTATCAACAGGGTCATCACCAGCTGTGAGAGTTGATTTTTGCCAAAAACGGGTGTCAAAAAGGTGTGGCCAGTTTCACTTCAAAGGAAGCGATTACGATAAAGAGGGAGCGCATCGGGGAAGCATATGCACCACACGAATCAGTTACTTGGCTGCCAGGGAAGCGAGTGTGGCGCTTTCACGACGAAAGGTGCGCTGGTTGCTGAGCAGGACTTCGAAAGCACTCCGCCCCCAAAAGCGATCCGCCCACTAGTTTACTTGGTGATTTGGACGAGCTGCGTTGCCAGCAGCGGCACAAATGGAGCATCTCGATTAAAGCGTGGTTTGGCATGGTGCCACCAAACGCGTTGCGGTGAACTCGTTCATACGTCCACTTTCTGAGCTGTTACCTGTTCATGAGTGAAAACCAACGGCCAAAAAAGGGGGTCCCGTTTTGCGTTTTTTGACGGATTTTCTGCTTTTTTCGCACTGGCGTACCATTGAGCACCACCACGTCACACAAAACACTTCATAAATTTTTAATATAATAGCTGACTTCAAGATCTGACACTTTTGATGTATGTGGTTTCGAGCATTATGAGGCATTTTTTCGAAAGTTTTAAAAAAGGCGCGGTCCCACACGATAGATACGAGAAGGCGCACAGTCGTCTGGTAAGTCTTGGATATCTCTTCTAACCGCTGATTTCTTCAAAAATTTCACTCGCTCATCACGAGTAGTTCTATTTTAGATTTTCTTCTTGAATACTCTAAGGAAAGTTGGGAGTTCGACGGTGTTAAAATACTTTTCGGGTGTGCACACATCATTAACTCCATTTCAAGTAGTAGAGGCACTTGAACGGGCCTATACAATGCGTCTAAAAAATGTATTACAAGACAGCGCATTGATCCCTCCAAACTAGAAGCTATCAAAACTTCACATACCGAGCGATCTTCAAAAGATAATAGGTTAGATTGTCCTGGGCGCGCTGTATGCGAAGCTCTGACGTCCAGATCGGATTAGCGGCTCCTTGCTACTATATACCGTCGCTTATACTTGGGCTATGCTAGCGAATTCTCTCAATCACTATATCATACCCTTCTTTTGCCTCTTTGGTAGTGGCAGTTCCTTCTGTGTGACATGACCTAAAAAAACCCAAGCCCATGTCATATTCCTCATTGGCACACAAAATAGTTCTCACATAAATCAGCAGAGTTTGTTCATTTGCTAGGGATTCAAAAAGAATGATATGATTTGATAACGCTGTGGTTTGTAGCAGTGAAAAAATGCTTATAATAGTTGCTTTATTGAACGACCATCTAGTTGAGCTCTGAACGAAGTTTTTCCCGGAAACGGTGAAAGTATCCGACTTGTTCTATCAGAGAAAAAGTCCACATTATTTGATCTCCGCGAACATTTGGAATATCCTATAAATACTTCTGTTCAAGTGTCCTTATGTTTTAGAACGAAGCGCCATGGCCTAAGAAGCACCACAACTAGCGCTGAATCCTTTAACTTTGGTTGATGGCGGCTTGAAAAATGTAGCGGCTGTGACTCCAGGAACTTCGGGAGTAGGCTGTATTGATGTCAGTCAGGTATTCTGCACAGCTGGACTGATTTCTTTTTCAGGTTTTTCGGACACTGATATGATAGCAATATCAACGGAATAGAAGGAAACCCTGGTCACATACACGCCGTGTTTGCTCCTGCGTGAAAATCAGCTGAAAAGCCTCGGGTGCGGTTTGTTGCAACGACGGCCTTGTGGTTTTTAGCTGACCGCTTGCTGATACCTGAATTTATTGCGATGCTTTGATAACTCTCTTCGCTCTCTCCTAGCTCACCTTCTCCTTCATCCCCTCTGGCCCTCCTTTGATCGTTGCCGCTCACCTGGCCCGCTGGCGCCTCCCACACTTCGCACCCGACTACCAAGCATTCACCCAGACCTGCATGTCTTCGCCGACATTTCACTTTAATATCACAGCTACTGTAATTTCACATGCTCTAGAGCCACTCCATAGCTCAAGTTCTTCTTCATGCCTCTCCATTCGAGTGAGCATAAATGCGCTCCTCATAAGAGTCTCCTTTTTATTCGTTTCGAGCATGTTATTTCCGACATTCAAGCGCATTTGTTTGCCGTGCTGTCGTTATCGAATAACATTCTCGCCGAATATTCTACTCAAATAGATTCGTGCATCTTTTCACTCAATCTGAAGAGAATCAGATGAATCCATATATCCCAGGCACCATCGCTCTCATCTCACGTCGCTCGTTCCGTTCCACGTCTTCTAGCCTATTCACTCAGTATTCACCGAATTTTCGTTTTTCGCTACTGTAAATTCATTTCATGGACAGCCTCATCAGATTTCCTATTCTGATAGCAGGATTACGATTTAAGAATAATTTTACATTTAAATTCCACATGAAATCGGCCCAATATCGATGACGTTGTCAACGGCCCATACGAAAATGTCCCTCCATCTAAAAATTAGAAAATCTCAATTCGTGCACGTATGGGGTCACGGGACTTTGAACATACCTGACAATGAGGGAAACTTGCACCGCTTTCAAAACTCCCGATTTCCAATATCTACATGTAGAACGGAGGCTCTATACGCCAGCAGAAGGGAGAGGAGCAAAAAATTCTTTCTGCTCATGCGCACATCAGCAAAGCTTTTCCTCACGCAGGCTTCCGCCTAAGGTTTTGTGGCAAAATTCCTTAGATGTCCCTTCATAAGCAAAACAAGCCCTTGCTCACTGTTCACTACCCTCACCGTTCAAAGTATGAACTCCACGGCGTCGTTGGGCTCAGAGCGGCCACAGAGTATCCTCAAACCTTAAGATGCTACCTGATTTCCCCTTCAAATGATAACGGACAGTTTACCAAACATAGTTGCTCTAACTATGCGAAGCGCGACTAGCATTTCGAAAAACGTCGTAGTGGCTCACGATCGGACGAGGAGCGTTGTACCACATTTCCGTACTGCTTTCGTATGATTTCGACTGTATAGAAGGCTACAGAGGATACTACAGAGGTTTGAATATTTTAGATTTGAATGTGCTCCTCAATATCCAGTTGCAAGCATCTGGTCTGGGGCTGGGCAAAGTGTGATTAATTCAGTTTTAAGGGAGAAAGAAGCAAGTCTTCTCTATGCCTGCCTCGCTGTACACAATACAACTATGTTACTATTATAGTAACACTGCTCCTGGAAAATGTACTTCAACAAATTTGCTCCTTTATTTGAGGCCGGCAGTCGTGACTTGGAACGTTGAACTATGCTTCTTTTCTTTTCACGCAAGCAGCCGATCAGGTCACCGCTCACCCGTTCCTTTCCTTGGCCAGCTATCACCTAACGATTTCTGAAGCGGAAGATAGGCTTGTGGCCGTTTTCTGAGCAGGACTTAGATTCGTAGCTACAGATCTGCCTATGACGCGATCCAGTGAGCAAAGCTACGGGCTCATCTTCATCAAAGCGATTTCGAGCGCTTATCTTCGCGCACAGGATGCTGGTTCCTGTTATTCATGACCAAAATAACTGACTGGTGTATTGGCATCGAAGATATCGCTGATGTCATCAAGGGATGTTACGAGGAGATGTGAACTGTGACGAAATTACGTGCACGTTTATGCCCTCAATTTGTGTCAACTTGGAGTGGAGCAGTTGTGAGAACAGACGTACTGAGTTTGTCAGAGACGATGAGGTAAAACTCATGCTCTCGAGATTGAAACGCGTTGCACTTGTAGTTCACAAATGACTGATTAAACTCAAAAAGTTGAAATACGTTATCATTTACTGGGGGAATCAGTAGTAAGATTGGTTATCAGTGTTGTTTGGTACGTGCGATCACGCACAAGCTGTTGAGCTCGAAAACTCAGCGGGCCCTCAGTTCTCTACATCAATGACAAATCGCTGCTTTACTTCCGCATCAGCTGCAACGCATCTTCGCGCTTTTTTACATTTCTCACCACACATCGAATTACTCCAACGGCCCTGTCCTGGCGGCTTGAAGGAAATTCTAAATAGTAAGTGCTGCTGTACTCTTGTCATCTTTTTCGAAGAGTTCCTCATCTTGCCATTGTTGCTTCCCGCTTTCCTGTCTTTCTTCATTTCCTTTGTCTGCTTGTTTTCGTACACAGCGAGAGATTATTCTGCACTTTTCCGCTTCTCAGAGAACTTTATCATTTTCTTTCTTTCTTGTACAACTTGTTATGGCGCGATAGCATGACGAAACTAGTAAATAAACAAATGAACAAATAATCACCATTCAAGATTCGCGACTTATTTGCAACCTCGAAACTGTATTAGCTGCTTTCCATTCCACATCCGCTTATTGTGGACATGGAGTGAAATCAGTCTGAAGACGTCACCAACGATGCCACGCCTCCTTCTCACTTCTATTTTCGTTATGCCTAGTTCCCTTCGCGCATTGCACATCAAAGCCTTCCTATGACCTCGAGAGGTCGGAAAGCGGGGTATACTCTGACTTGTCTGTATTCTTCTCACCTGTTTTGAGTTCCTCTTCATTTCACCGCATCGTGTCTTTTTCATCTTTCAATTATCAATCGTGTTTCATTATGGCATTAGATTTGCCCTGCCCTGGCACCTCGTGTCGAAAAGGTGCTCAACAAGGGTAGAGTGCTGAAACGAAGGTCATAAATGAGAAATGCTCTAGGTGATGGGCAACTCATCCAGTTCTACGTCGTCGAGAGTTCGGCATAAATCCGAATCTATGGAGATTCGTCAGAAGAAGAACAAACCCGAGGGGGAATTTGCAACAAAAAGTCGGTCACTTATGGAATTGGGAAGCGGTCAACGAGTTAAGCGATCCATCGCTACCATCAAGCCGTCCGACCGACCGAGGCAACCTCTAAAGGAGACTCGCAGTGGAAGGTGGGCGTACCTATTACTCGTTTTTTAGATTGTTCTGTGAATCTTGGGAATCCTAATTAGCAGAACTAGTGCTCATGAAATCAGGGTGATCTTATTAAATCATTGAAGTACAATGCGGTGCTTCAGCAGAGCACAATGACCTCCAAGTTCATATCAAGCCCACAATTTTTAAGGACCATTTTATTCACTTAAGATCCCAGCTCGCGATGAACTCCAATGCTGGTTTAATTCTGTTGTCACATACATAGTTTTACTTCAGTAGTTTTCGTTGGTCGAAGGATTTGAAACGAAATGTGTGACGAATTGAATGTGGAAAAGACATTGACACTCACAAGAGTCGCTGCCTCAATTGTTGCTTTGAGGGCCTTCCCAGATATGGCTAGGAAAAAACTGACATGAGGTCACTGCACATCAATCAGCTGAATTCGAAAAGAGAAAAGCGTGGATGTCATAAAAGGATGCGATCTATGGCCTTGTCAGTATTGGCGGCGTCTCCTACCACTGAGCGTCCCCTTCCCTAAATTAGGACCTTGTTTCTGCAAACGTAAAAACTATCTATTATCGCAAGCAACTCTCTTCTGAATCTTTTCAGTTTCTTGGACGAAAGTCTTTGACTTCAAAGAGATTTTTACTAGAAAAGCTCTGAAAACTGCACGTTTCTTAAATTCTTATATCTTTAACCGACTCTTATGAGGGCACAATTTGTTGGCACTGTTATTTTCCCTTCACACTCGTTTATCCGAAGAGATTTATTTGTTATTCGGCAAGATGTATATGTGTTTCGGAAATAGGCTCTCTCTCCAATGCCCATGTCTATTGTTTTCTTGAATAGACTATTTTGCTATTCTTCACATTTCGTCGAGACCGGAAAGCCGCGGAGGCAGCGCGGCGCATCTGCGCCACGTATGGAAAAGAGCTAATCTGCCACTCTGAAATGATTTGCAAGGTTCAAAAATAGAATTTCTGGTACGATACACGCGCTGCGCTTCTATGTATCTTCCGCTAAAAGCTCCACAAGAAGGGATTGGGATGTTCTTGATTTACTCGAGACCACGGGAGCAAAAAAAAACCAAGACAAAAACTTTGTCAACCATTAATGCAACAAATAAATGATGCTGCTTAGTCAGCATAAATATCGCTGCAAAAAGGAACAAATTTCCAAGAATCATAGCATCGCTCAACCTCACACTGTAAACTTCGACAAAATCTTGCTGGTGCGACTTGAAGATGCGCCAGCGTCACCCCCATTCTGTAAGCTCTGCGGTAGACATTCACCTCGTTTTCCCTAGACAGCTGTTCGATTCTATGTGTGCGGATTCTATTCACAAAATTACATCGCTGATCTCATAGCTGAGAAAATGCATGCAAAGTCTTTTCTGCAACATGCTTTCTTAGATTTATCATAGGATTTGTAGCTGCGAAATGCCACCCAGATGTTGCCAACTTATTTGTTGCATTGTCTTGTAATGTCCCAGGTAATCCTTCTGTTTACCCATGTATAATGTTATTTATACCGAGAGCCATGTTTTGAGCTACGACCGATCCTGAATCATCGACTTCCTGACTTGAGTATATGAGCGAAGTAAGAGCGAGATATCCTGACACATGCTAGTATCAAGCAATAAGCAAAAAGGGTAGAAAATAGTTCCACAGCGAATTTACGAATGCTATAGATTACCTTAAAATGTTACCTCTTTCCTACTTTACTCTCAAGTCCAGAAATCATTTGTTTTTTGACACATTGCCCTCAGGGGACTGCCATACACACGACTGGCGTCGCCGAGCGGCACGGCTGCTCTGGCCACCGCAATGCAGCTGCCCTTTCGTGTCAAATGTTGTAGTGATGAATACGATTGTCGATTGTCAATTCGAAGGAGCGTTTTCTTTTTTGAAATGGCAACAGTGAGCACAATGCACTTGTTCACAGTCCTGAAATCCTAGCATAAAACGATTTTAGGACCTCAGTGTAATCTTAGCAATTGCACCCTCTTTTTTTTGAATGAAAAAAGGGCTATTTATATCTAGGCGGGGGCACATCCCTGTTTAATGTCATTGAAGCCAATTGTAAATTCTATCAATAGTGAAGTATATTGTAATGAGCTAATCCATGAAGTGCTACCAGCATGTAAAAACCACCTATTGTCCTGTGATTTACCTATCGGGATCGGGAACAAATGTTGTTAATGCTTAACAAATGTAGCACTCAAATTTTCTGAAGCTTCTTTGGAGCACGCAACAAGATTTTCCTGAGTATTAGAAGATTTACGACCCCCGATTTGCAGTCTTCGTTGGGCATGTGAAATAGGTTGTTCTTAGTCATCGCTGATTTCAAAAGTAGCTTTTTTCTGCTCTGCTAAAGCTTCAATGTCATGATAAAGGCTTTCACTAATATTAACACATTGACGACAGTGAGACACGGTTGCACGTATCATTTTGCAGACCACGTTGGACGAGGTTGCGCGTCTCACCCTTGTCATCCCTTTTTCTAGCGCATGCGCAGCTTCTTCCCAAGGTTGTTTGTATTTATTATGTAGATCATACGTTGATCTAACTATCAACGGCTTGGTCCATGAAATGGTTAGGTATGCTTGAACACGGCTGATAAACCTGCTTGCTCGGGCTTTGAGGGTTGAGAGGAGGCTGGAGTGGGCGACGCTGCGCGCGCTTTGAATGCGCCATCTGAGGAAGATACCAAATGCGCACACTCCACCTCTCATTTCAAGTACCTTTCCCTACTCATTACTTCGCTGAAGTGACAATATTCCCCTTGGTTTACGATCCTTCGTTTTGCGTCAAGGTTATCACTATCTCGCGTAAGGCGTAGACAAGAGGCTGTGCACTGCTTCGCCGACTTAAACCCTACCCTCCCAATTCATACGCTACTGTTCTTTCGCCACTTTCAGTGTAGAGTTCCAAAAAACGCACCTTGTTGGACAATGAGACGCGGTTGCGCGTCTCAGAAGATCGCGTCCGCCAAACTGCTCATGTCCCACGTGGCCAAGAAAGCCAAAGCACGCGCTGTCGTCCATTTGTTAAGTACGTGGTATATGATGATAGCAAACTGTGATAACTAGTGGCTGATTAATTGCCTCACATGCTCAAGATCTGCTTCGGTTGCTTTGGCTGGATCTGATGCTTAAGAAATTTTTTGAAAACTTTATTAAATTCTCACTAAAATGAAATGCTAAGCGTTTTGCTGTGAAATCAGCCTGAGAGCTGGAGTGATCGGGTTGGTCCGGCCAGTTGATGGACCTGTGTTGACTATGGTGAGGACAAATCATCAGATACTCTATCTTTTTTCTTACTCAAACTGTGAATTATCAAAGGACCTAATAGCTTACCGTAGCAGCATATTTTTGAGACCTAATGAATCAAACCGGCATAATGGACATCACAAACCCTTCAGCGACGTCCATTACACATTACTTCCCGCCAGACAAAAATAACAATGAACAGCTTATCCTCGAAGCAAAATAAGTGTGATGGACTCACTAAGAACCATCACATAGCGCTAAAACTTAACTTTGTCACGTTTGTCGCAGATGCTGTAATGTGTCGTTTATCTAGAGCTGCCATTTACTTTGTATTGTCGCGTCTCAGAAGTGATAAAGCCTCGAATTACAAAGCAGTATTGGAATTCATGGAAACAGCTCACTTATCTCACCTTGACCCGTCGCTGCACGCAGTTGGTTCAACCTTTAGCACTTTTTTTTCGAAAAAAAAAACGCAAGTGTTGGAACTATCTACAAGAAAACTGGATTTTATCTAGCAAATGTTGTGAAAATCACTTTGGTACATTTCGCCTGAGGTGATTAATTAATTAAATTGTTCATCAATTGAGTCTCCCTGTACTTGCGTCATAGCCATAGCCTCCAGCTGTCAATGAGCATTCACCTTGCTCATCTGAAATGCTCTCGTCTTCGCTTCGCTAACGAACAATCAAAGTAAATTGGAATGCCGAGTTTTTCACCCGTTCGTATGACCTCACACGCACAATGGCCCGGCAGTCCGTCTGGCGTTGTTCGAGTTGACGTGCTTCGTTGCCCGACAGCAGCTTTTGACGACACACTTTGTCAGCCTTCATTTCTCCGGGGAGAAAAACCCACTAGGACAAGCAACACATACACATGTTTATGACTGGAGCCGTGCCAACAATAAATCTATAGGCTTAACCCTGTCACAAAAACTGAGCCTATCTTTTCAGTACCGTGAATGGCTTGTCACGCTCAAAGTCGTTACGGAAAGATTTATCACATCCGATCAGCAGTCAGGGAAGGGAGATCATTCTGCAGTGCTTTGAAAATCCTCACTCCGAGTTCGGCAATAAGGTTTGTCTATTTACCCTTTCTTTTTCGCTTGATACTGAGCATGTGTGCTTGAGAAGGAACTGAGAGGCTGGCCTGTGCACTTTTGCTGCTTCAGCAAGCCAGTTTCAGCAATGAGGAACTGAGGCGCACTGCAATGAAAAAACAGCGCCCAATCACATCGTCCAAACGGCCTCCTAAATGTGCTGTGAACATTGCTAATGTCAGAGATACTCGCGATCTTAAACGCTGTCGCAGCGGTTGTGCCGCTGAGCCGCGTGAGCTCTATGTTTTTCGCATGTGTGCCAGTACCAGTTGCCGCACGGTGTTTAGCAGAAGCGACGTAAGCCTCTACCGAGGCTTTCACTGCCGCCGTTGCGGAACAGGGTCATTCTTTCCCAGATTTTATAAGAGGGAAACAATCACAAGTTGGCTCAGTTTTTTTGATGAAAATTCGTTCAGTGTCTTTCTCGCGGGGAATATTGTTGGACAAGAATAGTAAAATAATTTTTTGCAGGTGCTGCAACGGATTTTCGAGAAGAGAATCGACTATCAGAAGTATGTTTACACATTGGGCAGGGAGCGAGCCTATCAAATGAGTATTCGGCTCAAAGATCTTGTTGAGGAGGTCGTGTCAAAGGTTTGTTTACTCGATCAGACCACAACTGCTCCAAATAGTAAAAGCAGATGCTAGTTACCGATGGGGTGCAGGAGCAGACGCTGTTTGCAATCACAAGGTGGATCCATGATTGCAATCCAATTATTTCGGGGTTACTTGTACATTTCTGCTGTGATTTATTGGACCCCTCGTGGCACACGTGAAGTCAATCAAATCACTGGTATGGGTTAACTTTCTTTAGGATTTTATTTGCCCTTGCTTGCATCTTGCTCAAACGTAAAATCGATGGTTTTAGCATTCTTGCTAAGATCCAAGTGGTGCACCTGTTATTCAACGGGAATCTAATGCGAGAAATAGGGCAACCCATGAGGGATGGAAGTCATGCCTACTTCAAAAATATAATAATAATAATAAATAATAATAAGACAAAGAAATATCGGAATTTACACTAGCAAGCTAATATGGGTACGTGTTGTTCTCCTTTCCTCCTGTTTCAACTAATTTACTAATAAGTCTAGTTCTATAACTAAGTTAAGCTGCTGCGAGAAAGTCCTAATTCACTATTGTCGATGCTTTTTCGCTTAAGTCACTACCGGGAGGCGAATCAGCACTCGCAGTTTCAGTGGTCTGATCCCATGAGCTCGATCTGCCTCAGGAAACCTGTTGATGTTACACTTATAATTCTTGCTCCTTAGTACATAGTATAGGCCTTCGAGATCACCGTTATCCCCGTCAGGATTATCAAACATTATCGGGGTCTATTCCAGTTAGGGGGAGGGGCATCATGATGCAGTTTTTTCCAGAAAGCTAGGGTAACTCCGAGCCAGGGGGAGTGTAGCCAGTCTAGGGGGTGGGGGTGAGGGCAGTCACTTGACATGCGTGAAAAGCTGGAATGTTCGAGTTCACCGAGAAACTGCATCATGATGCCCTTCCTAACTGGAAAAAAACTGGACCCCATTATCAGCCATTTCAATGGCAACCAGGAGCACTGCTTTTTGCCTCTTCTTGAACCTATGATCCATTGAATGAGCTAACTTGCATTCAAATGCCACTATGTTCATGAATAACAATAAAATGTGTGGCCCACTTCACGAACGAAGTGCTCATTGCCATGTATTGGATCAGTATAATATCGTAGCGCTCGCATTCGGCAAAAACGTTTAAAGCAAAACCCAAAAGCAAAGCCAAGCATAAAACTGATCAGTGATGTTCTTCTCGTCATTATTTACGACTTTGGTTCCATTTCGCAAGAAATTACCGGGTTTAGAAATCAAAAAGGGTACTGAGCCCGTTTTCAGAATCCTCATTATTCTCAATTTGTACGACGTGAATATGATTTGAAATTAAGGGTCGACTGGAGTAAGGTTCGATGATGACGATGGATTCCGAAAAACTCCTATTTTGGCAGCTTTTTTCTCTATATAGATTTTCGCCCACCTTGATTCTCCAACTTCTAAGCGCCATATCTGAGTACACTTACAGTATAGAAGAAAATGCCAAACATGGTATTGTAGAGCAGAAGAAGTACTTTCAAATGATATATGTGATTTCCTGGGTAATACTTGTATTCACTGAATTCGTAGCTCGAAAGAAAAACGCTACGATATTATGCTCCAACCCAATACTGCTACTGCTCTACGCCTAATATACTCGTCTTGTTACAATTAGCGAATTCTTCATGGCGGTGCATGTTTTGCAGATGGGATCTCCAAGTTGTTCTCATTCGTTCAGTGATCAACTTTTTCGTAATTTGATCTCATAGTGCTTGGGGTTGGCATGCCATTGAGTCGACAGAGAGGCGCTACGCGAGGTGGGGGATCTTCATACACTATCACAACCTCTCCTTACACAA